AATGACATCCAGTGTGAGAAAGGAACCACGTGTCAGATGGTCGATGGTAGGCCACGGTGCATCCAGACCAAGACATCCTCAACACCACCTTCTTGTAGTGACATCCAGTGTCCCAAAGGGACCACGTGCAGGATGATGGATGGACAACCCCGGTGTGTCCACAACCTGCCATCCTGCAGTGACGTCCAATGCCAGAAGGGAACCATGTGCCAGATGGTTGATGGTTGGCCACGGTGCGTCCAAACCAAGATTTCCCTCCGGCCTCCTTCTTGCCATGATGTCCACTGTCCCCAAGGGACCACATGTAACATGATCAACAGCCAACCCCGGTGTGTCCACAACCCGCCATCCTGCAGTGACATCCAGTGCCAGAAGGGAACCACGTGCCAGATGCTTGACGGTTCGCCACGGTGTGTCCAAACCAAGATCTCCCACGTGCCACCCATCCCAAAAAGACCGAGTTGTGAGGACATCCACTGCGCAAAGGGAACTGTGTGCACCATAGTCGATGGTGGACCCAAATGCGTGGCCCAACAGCCTTCCTGCAGTGACGTCCAGTGTCCCAAAGGGACCACGTGCAGGATGATGGATGGACAACCCCGGTGTGTCCACAACCTGCCCTCCTGCAGTGACATCCAGTGCCAGAAGGGAACCACGTGCCAGATGGTTGATGGTTGGCCACGGTGCATCCAGACCAAGACGTCCTCAACACCACCCTCTTGTAGTGACATCCAGTGTCCCAAAGGGACCACGTGCAAGATGACAGATGGTTGGCCCCGGTGTGTCCACAACCTGCCATCCTGCAGTGACATCCAGTGCCAGAAGGGAACTACGTGCCAGATGGTTGATGGTTGGCCCCGGTGTGTCCAAACTAAGGTGTCCCCAAGGAGGCCTTCCTGCAGGGACATTCAGTGTCCCAAAGGGACCACGTGCAGGATGACAGACGGTTGGCCCCGATGTGTCCAAAATCCACCCTCCTGTCGGGACGTCCAGTGCCAGAAGGGAACCACGTGCCAGATGGTTGATGGTTGGCCCCGGTGTGTCCGATCCAAGACCATACTGAGGCAACCTTCTTGCGGGGACATCCGATGTCCTCAGGGGACCACGTGCAAGATGCTACATGAGTGGCCTCAATGTGTCCACCACCAGCCCTCCTGCAGTGACGTCCATTGTCCCAAAGGCACCACATGTAAGATGACAGCTGGTTGGCCCCAATGTGTTCAGAGTCGACCTTCCTGTGATGATGTCCGCTGCCAGAAGGGAACCACATGCCAGATGGTCGATGGTTGGCCCCAGTGCATCCAAACCAAGACATCCCTCAGGCGACCTTCTTGTAGTGACATCCAGTGTCCCAAAGGGACCATGTGCAAGGTGACCGATGGGTGGCCTCAGTGTGTCCACAACCTGCCCTCTTGCCAGGACATTGAATGCCAGAAGGGAACCATGTGCCAGCTGGTTGATGGTTGGCCCCGGTGTATCCAAACCAAGATGTCCCTCAGGAAACCTTCTTGCAGTGAGGTCCGCTGTCCCCAAGGGACGGCGTGTAGTTTGATTGATGGCCAACCACGGTGTGTCCCCACCCGGCCCTCCTGCAGTGATATCCAGTGTGAGAAAGGAACCACGTGCCAGCTGGTTGATGGTTGGCCCCAGTGTGTCCAAACTAAGATGCCCCTAAGGCGACCTTCTTGCAGGGACATCCAATGTCCCAAAGGGACCACGTGCAAGATGACGGACGGTTGGCCGCTGTGTGTCCAAAACCCACCTTCTTGCAATGACATCCAATGCCAGAAAGGAAATGTGTGCCAGATGGTTGATGGTTGGCCCCGGTGTGTCCAAACCAAGACCTCCATTAGGAGACCTTCTTGCAGAGACGTCCAATGCCCCAAAATGACAACGTGCAGAATGAGAGATGGGTGGCCTCAGTGTGACCATAACCAACCCTCCTGCCATGATATCCAGTGTTCCAAGGGCACCACGTGTCAGATTGCGGATGGATGGCCTCGCTGTGTCCACAACCAACCTTCCTGCCATGACGTCCAATGCCAGAAGGGAACCACGTGCCAGATGGTTGATGGTTGGCCACAATGCATCCAAACCAAGACCTCCATTCGGAGACCTTCTTGTAGCAATATCCAATGTTCCAAGGGGACCACGTGCAAGATGGTTGATGGTTGGCCCCAGTGTGTCCACAGCCAACCTTCCTGCAGCGATGTCCACTGTCCCAAGGGGACCACGTGCAACATGGCCAACGGGTGGCCCCAGTGTGTCCAAAATCGTCCCTCCTGCAGTGACATCCAGTGCCAGAAGGGAACCATGTGCCAGATGGTTGATGGTTGGCCACGGTGCATTCAAACCAAGATGTCCCTCCGGCCACCTTCTTGCCATGATGTCCACTGTCCCCAAGGGACCACATGTAACATGATTGATGGCCAACCCCGGTGTGTCCACAACCTGCCCTCCTGCAGCGATGTCCAGTGCCAGAAGAGAACCACGTGCCAGATGGTTGATGGTTGGCCACGGTGTGTCCAAACCAAGACCTTTCCAAGGCGACCTTCTTGTAGGGACATCCAGTGTCCCAAAGGGACCACGTGCAAGATGACGGATGGGTGGCCCCAGTGTGTCCACAGCCAACCTTCCTGCAGGGATGTCCAATGCCAGAAGGGAAACACGTGCCAGATGGTTGATGGTTGGCCCCGGTGTGTCCAAACCAAGACCTCCATTCGGAGACCTACTTGCAATGACCTCCGATGTCCCAAAGGGACCACGTGCAAGATGCTCCATGGGTGGCCTCAGTGTGTCCACAACCTGCCCTCCTGCCAGGACATTGAATGCCAGAAGGGAACCACGTGCCAGGTGGTTGATGGTTGGCCCCGGTGTGTCCAAAACAAGGCCTTGCCAAGGCGACCTTTTTGCAGTGACATCCAGTGTCCCAAAGGGACCACATGCAAGATGCTGCAGGGGTGGCCCCAGTGCATCCACAGCCCACCCTCCTGTCACGACATCCAATGCCAGAAGGGAACCACGTGCCAGGTCGTAGACGGTTGGCCCAGGTGTGTCCAAACCAAGACCTCCATTAGGAGACCGTCTTGCAGGGACGTCCAGTGTTCCAAGGGGACCACGTGCAAGATGCTACATGGGTGGCCGCAATGTGTCCGCAGCCAACCATCTTGCAGTGACATCCAGTGTCAAAAAGGCAGCGTGTGTCAGATAATGGACGGTTGGCCACGGTGTGTCCAGCGTCAACCAACGTGCAAGGACATCCAGTGTCCCAAAGGGACCTCATGCAAGATGACAGACGGGTGGCCCCACTGTGTCCAGAACCAACCTTCCTGCCATGGTGTCCAATGCCAGAAGGGAACCACGTGCCAGATGGTTGATGGTTGGCCCCGGTGTGTCCAAACCAAGACATCCCTGAGGCCACCTTCCTGCAACAATGTCCACTGTCCCCAAGGGACCACGTGCAAGATGACAGATGGGTGGCCCCAGTGTGTCCACAGCCAACCTTCCTGCAGTGATGTCCACTGTCCCAAGGGGACCACGTGCAACATGGTCAACGGGTGGCCCCAGTGTGTCCAAAATCCCTCCTGCCAGGACATCCAGTGCCAGAAGGGAACCATGTGCCAGATGGTTGATGGTTGGCCACGGTGTGTCCAAATCAAGACCACTCTGAGGCAACCATCTTGCAGAGACATCCAGTGTCCCAAAGGGACCATGTGCAAGATGCTCCATGGGTGGCCTCAGTGTGCTTCTCACCAACCTTCCTGCAGCGATGTCCACTGTCCCAAGGGGACCACATGCACCATGGTCAACGGGTGGCCCCAGTGTGTCCAAAACCGGCCCTCCTGCAGTGACATCCAGTGCCAGAAGGGAACCACGTGCCAGATGGTTGATGGTTGGCCGCGGTGCGTCCAAACCAAGACTTCCCTGAGACAACCATCTTGCAGAGACATCCAGTGTCCCAAGGAGACCACGTGCAAGATGCTCCATGGGTGGCCCCAGTGTGTCCAACATCGTCCCTCCTGCAGTGACATCCAGTGCCAGAAGGGAACCACGTGCCAGATGGTTGATGGTTGGCCGCGGTGTGTCCAAACCAAGACCTCCATTCGGAGACCTCTTTGCAGCAACATCCAATGTTCCAAGGGCACCACATGCAAGATGACAGATGGGTGGCCCCAGTGTGTCCACCACCAACCCTCCTGCAGTGACATCCAGTGTCCCAAGGGCACAACCTGCACCGTGACAGATGGGTGGCCCCGTTGTCTTCCCAGCTATACCCTCTTCAGCTCTGTCTCCTGGGGCCACCCCGCTCCCGTCCCCCCGTTTTCCCCTGAGATCTCATCACCTCCCTTGACCTGCATCGGCATCCACTGTGTCACCATCCCCGGGTCCTGCCAGCACATTGCCTGCAAACCCGGCACCGCCTGCGTGGTGGTGCACGGCCATCCTGCCTGCGTCTCCAGACCCTCCTGCAAGAACCTCCACTGCAAGGCGGGAATGGGCTGCAAGGTCCTCAACGGGTGGCCCCGCTGCATCCGCGTCCCCTCGTGCGCTGACCTGCGGTGCCCGAGTGAGATGACGTGCCGGGTGGTGCAAGGGTGGCCCAAGTGCGTGCAGATGACCAGGAGCGCCCCCGTGACCTCTTGCGCCAACCTCTCCTGCAAGTCCGGGACCGCGTGCCGCGTGGTGGAGGGCGTCCCCCGCTGCGTCCCCCCCAAGCCTACCTGTGCCACAGTGCACTGCTTGGAGGGCACCACGTGCCACGTGGTGGAGGGTTGGCCCAAGTGCATGCCCAACCAACCCACCTGCAGCACTGTCCGCTGCCCCGCGGGCACCACCTGCCAGACGGTGGGAGGTTGGCCCACGTGCGTACCCAACAAGCCATCCTGCGCTACCGTCCGCTGCCCGGCTGGGACCACCTGCCAGATGGTGGAGGACTGGCCCAAATGCGTGCCCAACAAGCCGTCTTGCACCGAGGTGCATTGCCCAGCGGGGACAACCTGCCAGATGGTGGACAATTGGCCTACGTGTGTGCCCAACAAGCCATCGTGCAACGATATGCATTGTCCAGCTGGAACAACGTGCCAAATGGTGGAGGACTGGCCCAAATGCATGCCCAAGAAGCCATCCTGCAACGATGTGCATTGCCCATCCGGAACGACGTGCCAGATGGTGGAAACCTCCCCCAGATGCATCCCCAACAAGCCGTCGTGCAAAGACCTGCATTGCCTGAAGGGGACAACGTGCAAGATGATGGAGGGCTGGCCCAAATGCGTAGCTGACAAGCCATCTTGCAACGACCTGCATTGCCCATCCAGAATGACGTGCAAGATGGTGGAAAGCTCTCCCAGATGCGTTCCCATCAACCCATCGTGCAACGACCTGCATTGTCCATCCGGAACGACGTGCAAGATGGTGGAAAGCTCCCCCAGCTGCGTTCCCATCAACCCATCTTGCACCGATGTCCATTGCCCGAAGGGGACAAGGTGCAAGATGGTAGAAACCTCCCCCAGATGCCTCCCCATCTCGCAGCCCCCGCTTGTCTGCCACGTCCTGGGGCGTTGGCGCTACCGGGCCTTCAATGGGAAGAACTACGGCCTGGCAGGAGCTTGCACCCAGACGTTGGTGGCCACCTGCGGCGCCCAGTTGCCCGCCCCCGCCCGCCAGATCACGGCGGGTGGCCGGGTGGGCAGGGGCCCAGCCGCCACCTTCAGCCACCTCACGCTCCGCGGTGATGGCTACGAGGTGGTCCTGCTCCGAGGAGAGGAGACGATGGCGAGGGTGAGGATACGGCCCCGGGCAGAGCATGGGGGGTGGGTGTGTGTGTGTGTGGGGGGGGTGTCTCCTCCAGGAGGGGACCC